ACAACGATTTTGACATTAACACTAATGATTATGACATTGATCCTATTAATTCCAGTATATTTTTAATGCCCACTAATGATAGTGAAACACAAAAAGTAATAAAATCGCTCAGGGACACAAATTCAACAGGTTATGACCTACAAAAATTATAAAATACATCGGCCCTATCAATGAAACAATGAAACAATGAATTTATTTTTGCAAATAGGCCTTAAAACGGCACTTTTACACGTCAAATTATATGTGAAAAACTAGATGAAGCCGGCATTTCCTATCTGACTACTCTGAGAAGAAATGCCGAAACAAACTCAGAGGTCAGTCTCTTTTCAAGTCCAGACAATATAAAATAACATAATGTGAGAGAACCGTGCAAGTTCATTCTGTAGTGGTCTTTTGAGGAAAGAACCACACCAGTTTAAGTGGACCCGTTCTGAAGACAGGCACGCAAGTGTCAGTTTGCAACCATATAGCTAGTGCTGTTGAGTTGTCCGACGAACAATACCGATCAAAAGAACATTTGGGTGGGTCGCGCAAGTACTCAAACTGTCAGAACGCAGATGACTGGTGATAAAAAAACACGACAAGTCTCACACGGTCCTTACACTAACAATAATATAAAATAATAAAAATGTCAACAAATAAATAAAATAAAAAAAAAATGTCAAATAAAAAATAAAAATGTCACAATAGGTGATCATGTCATTGTATAAAAAAAAATAAACGTAATGTCAAATTGTATATAAAAGTGTAACTTATGTTACAAACATGTCAACATGACCTGTGCAGACATTACAGCGGCTCATTCCCAAGCCTGACTATCCTCTAAGTAGTCTTTTATTTTATAAAATGCTTTACAGCAAAGTTTAGCCTTTATTACACTTTTAAATTTATTGAGGCTCAAATTTTGAATATCGCTAGGAATTTTATTGTAAAAGCGTATACATTGACACCTAAACGAACTACTTATTTTCTGAAGCCTGGAGGCAGGCACAACATATTTGTTTTTCCCCCTCGTGTTGATATTATGTATATCACTATATTTCTTAAATAAGCTTTTGTTTTTATGAGCGTGAATTACATTTTCATAAATATATTGAGAGGCAACTGTCATTATTTTAGATTCCTTAAATAATTCTCTGAGCGAATGCCTCGGACTAAGATTATAGATTGATCGAATAGCCCTTTTCTGCAGAACAAAAATAGACTGGATGTCAGCAGCATTCCCCCACAACAAAATACCGTATGACATGATGCTGTGGAAATAACCAAAATAAACTAACCGCGCTGTATCTATATCTGTTAAATTTCTAATTTTTTTAACGGCATATGCTGCAGAACTGAGCTTCAGCGACAAGCCATCTATATGTGGGCCCCACTGGAGCTTAGCGTCCAGGGTTATACCTAAAAAGACAGTTGTATCTACAGGACTCAACTCCTCGCCCTTGACAAGCACACTGGTTTTTATCTGTTTAACATTTGGTGTTGTGAATTTAATACATTTAGTTTTAGTTTCGTTTAGTAATAAGTTATTCACACCAAACCAGTGAACTATTTCTGAGAGAGCACTGTTTACATTGTCAATTAATAATTGTCGTCGTCTGAGTTTGAATAATAGTGAGGTATCATCAGCAAACAGCACTATCTCGTGTTTATCCCTTACAAGGTAAGGCAAGTCATTAATATAGATAAGAAATAAAAACGGGCCGAGAATAGAACCCTGCGGAACACCCATCTTCACAACAGACCCGGCAGAAACCATTCCGTTTACTTCGACTCTCTGAACCCTATTACTCAGGTATGAGGTAAGAAGGTCCAGAGATGCACCTCTAATTCCGTAATGGGAAAGCTTCCTGATCAGTGTATCATGAAGCACGCAATCGAACGCCTTGGATAAATCACAAAATATTCCCAAAGCGTCGCTTGAGTCCTCCCATGCGTCGTAAATATGATTAAGAAGTTCAACACCGGCATCAGTTGTTGAACGACCCCTTGTAAATCCGAACTGCTTCGCATGTAATAATTTATTTCTATTAAAAAATCTTTGCATTTGATCTAAAATGATTTTTTCAAAAATTTTACTGAACGTAGGTAGTACTGAAATAGGTCTAAAGTTAGTGGGGTCAGAAATACTACCTGATTTAAATAATGGAATTATTTTACTACATTTCATAAGATCAGGAAACACACCACAGTCAATACAGTTATTAAAGATTTGAGCCAATACAGGTGCTACTAATAGTTATTACAGAGCTTGTAATGTACACAGAATTACCCCATAGATCTGCAGTCTTTTTGTTATTCAAAGTATTAAAGATTTTAACAATGTCTTTGTTATCTATGTGTTTGAAGGAAAACCCTGAATCGCAAGCTACAACATGTTCTTTGAGTAAAGACTCTGCAACAGTGGGAGATGAATTCAGTGACTTTGTAGTGGATACAGGAATGTCGGAAAAGAAATGTTCAAAAGCAGTTGCAATTTCTACATCCGCTTTTATTAACTTATTATCAATTACTAGACTATGTTGACTAATTCTTTTTTTAGACCTTCCTGCCTCACTGTTGATAATGTTCCAAGTGTCTTTGATAACATTGGTACTGTTCTTTATCTTAGAGCTTAAGAATAGAGATTTTGCAATAGAGCAAACTTTTTTAAATAATTTAGAATAGTTTTTTACATATTCACTGAATTCAACAGTATTAATATATGTCCGCTCATTATAGAGCTCATAGAGGCGATTTCTACTCTTAAAGATACCAGTGGTTGCCCAATCACCAAAAGACACATTGCTATTAGCTGGAATAGTTTTATCTGTAAAAGTAGACTTAAACTCTGTTAGGTACATTTTAAAAAACTTATCATATAAAGTGTTAGAATTCTTATAATTCAACAACAAAGGCAATTTGTTGCTGAGTTTAGCTTTGAAAAATTCAATGCGTCTTTTAGTCTTCGGATTAACTGTGATAAATCGTTTTGACACTATATTTATTTCATTTGTTAAAGAAATTAACTGACCACAATGATCGGAATCAAGTACTGAAATTATTTCTTTGTTAACTGGCACAATGTCGGTATAAATATTGTCCAGGCAAGTGGCACTAGTGGGTGTTATCCTAGTTCATTACTCAGGTACTAGTACATCTAATAGATTTATCATTATTCACGGAAGTGTTTCCTGAGAAATTGAAAAAAACAGCTATCAAACCTATACATAAAAAAGGTAACAAAAATCTTGTTTTTTTTTATACGTTGCCCCACTTTAGGATTTTCTGCTGTGTTGTGGGTGCGTTTACAAACATACAATGTCACATACACGTGACACCCAGACCCGAAACAACAATTTGTGGATCACACAAAGTGTTGTTCCGTGCGGGAATCGAACCCGCGACACGTTGCACGGCAGCCAGTTGCCCAGCCACCGCACCAACCGTGCAGTCTTGTTGATAATTACATACCAGCCCTATTGCCTATTTTAGCAAAAATTTATGAAAAGGTCATGCTTTCGCGATTAATAAATTTTATCGATAAGTTCCAAATTCTAAAATATCAACAGCATGGATTCCAAAAAAAGAAATTGACAACCACAGCGGCATTTAATTTAATTAACCTGGTTACTTAAAATATTGACCAGAAAATCGCGACAACTGTTGTATTTTTTGACATGTCAAAAGCCTTTGACTTCGTATCGCACGAGCTGCTACTGAAAAAAAGTGATAAATATGGGATACGTGGTAAGGCAAATACATGGTTGAGAAGTTACCTTACAAACAGATCGCAATTTGTACAAATTACTGTGGATAAACCAAATCAAAACGGTGAACTAACATTTAAATCCAAATTAGAGTACAATTGCACAGGCGTTCCACAGGGCAGTATTTTAGGCCCCCTACTTTTTCTTATATATATCAATGACTTGCCAGAAGTAACTGATCATCCCTGCACGCTCTTTGCAGACGATGTGTCCGTAATTATCCCCAAAAATAAAGAAAAGTATAATGATGAAATAAATAGTACCGTAAGCAAAGTAATAACTTGGATGGAAAAGAATAACCTTAAACCTAACATAGATAAAACGAAATATGTACAATTTGGTAACAAAAACTGGAATAAAATGGATTTAAACATCACTTATAAAGACAAGCAAATACAACAATCAGATAACATGACTTTTCTTGGGATAACTTTAGATGATGGGTGCTCCTGGGTTAACCATATTGATAAGATATGTGGAAAACTCAGTAAGTTTGCTTATGCTCTATGACGTTTATCTAATTTAACAAGTCGACAAGCAACATTACAGGCTTATCACGCATATGTTGGTTCAATACTGCGTTACGGTATACTGATATGGGGAAACTCGGTGCATCTCGGAAGAGCTTTCATCGTACAAAAGAGATGTATACGTGCGATATGTAATGTAGACCCACTTACTTCCTGTAAACCACTGTTTAAGAAACTTAGAATACTTACATTAACTGGTATTTATATTGAAGAAATATGTAAATTTACTAAATCTCACCCTGAAATGTTTGAAAGACTGGGAGATACATGCAAGTTCAAAACTAGATATCCTAATAGACTCCTTATTCCTAGAATGAAAACGGAATTATATAGGCGAAGTTGCTGTTCTATGTGCATACAGATATATAATAAACTTCCTAACCAAATTAAAGAACTTCCAATGGTCCGCTATAGAAAGGCTTTACGCAGGTGGTTAATTGAGAATTCCTTCTAACAATAAAAGAATTCCTTCAATTTAAATAAGCCAAATATGTACCAAAATTTGCATGTCATTATGTTATGATTTAATATGTTAAGCTACTATTATACTACTATTATAAGAACTTTTATCTGCAAATAAATCTTTGACTTTGACTTTGACTAATAGCTCGCCTCGTTCTTGGGTCAATTTCAACAGGTGTTATTCAGAGTCATATTATAGATGTTGTACTTTTTTTACTTTTTTATTTTCATATTAAATTATTGTTGCCATTACTTTCAGATGCGGATATTCTTCTGTCTTTTGGCGGCCGCAGTAATAATCGGCGACTCCACAGACATTGTTCCTGTCTGCAGAAAACGCGTTTACTGCAACAGCGAGCTTCTCCACCGAGTCCAAATAAACAGGGTCTGTGAGTACTCAAAGGCGTTCGTAGACCTTCATATGAATTACGACGAAAACAAAACATTAGATGACTTCGAGAAATTACTCAACTCACATAATAACTATCTGTCTAAAGATCAATTGTCAAAATTTGTTAATGAATACTTCTCAAGAGACAATGGATTAGAAAAGTGGATGCCACCAGACTTCAACAGTAGTCCGGAATACTTGAGTACTATAAAAGATAAAGCTTTAAGAGAATTTGCCAGAGGCATACACAACCTATGGACTCATTTAGGCAAAAAAGTAAAAGATGATGTTTTTCAAAATCCTGATCGTTATAGTTTAATTCCTGTCTCTCATGGATTTTTTATTCCCGGAGGACAGTACACAGAGATGTTTTACTGGGATTCTAACTGGATCATCAAAGGTCTGCTTATAAGTGGTATGCAAGAATCTGCAAAAGGAATGATTGAGATTTTTTTCGAACTAGTCGATAGGTTAGGGCGTGTTCCCGCCGGGAACAGATGGTATTATGAAAGGCAAGGTCAGCCTCCATTGTTGACGGAAATGGTAGCAGCTTACTATAAACACACTAACGATAAAGAGTTTCTTAGGAGCAGTATTGTATACTTAGAAAAAGAAATCGATTTTTGGTTAAATAATCGATCAGTTGATATCGAAAAGGACGGTAAACGTTACAAGGTACTTCGATATTTCGTTTCACTTGCACATCCACGACCCTACTCGTATTATAAAGATATCGAGCTGGCAGACGACTTAAGTGGACAAGATCTCGTATTATACCATAATGGACTTTGGAGTGCAGTCGAAAGTGGTTGGGACTTCTCATCGCGGTGGTTTAAAGATCCTGAAGAAACTGATAGAGAAAACCCCAGAATAGACATTCAGACAATGTCCATCAGCCCTGTCGACTTAAACGCAATCATCGCTAGTGCTCTGCAGCACATGGCAAACTTTCACACTGATTTGATGAATGTGGACAAGGCTAACACATACGTACAATTAGCACAACAATTGAGAGACACCATCGAGTCAGTGTTCTGGAATGAAGAAGACGGAGTGTGGTACGACTATGACCTGAACTTGGAATCGCAACGGAAGTATTTTTACCTGTCAAATTTTTCTCCGCTGTGGCTGTCAGCCGTAGGATCAGATTTTGTGAAAGCTAAAGGAGAGAAGATTTTGAACTATCTTATTGATTCCGGTGCTTTGGAATATCCTGGCGGTGTGCCAATTTCCATGATAGATTCAGGAGAACAATGGGACTTTCCTAATACATACCCTCCTTATACTAGCATTTTGGTAAACGCTCTAGATTCCATCGGAACTGAAAATGGAAAAGAATTAGCTTTAAAAATTGCGGAAACGTATGTTAGAGCCTGTTACGTGGGCTTTATGAAGTACAAATATTTGTGTGAGAACTACAATGTAAATAGAACGGGTGAATGTGGTGGAGGTGGTGAACGCCCAACGCAGTTTGGTTACGGCTGGTCCATTAGTGTAGCGTTAGAGTTTTTAATGAAGTATAAAAATATGACTGTAGGCCATTTAGATGATTCAGTGACTACCACTCCCTTTCCCCAATATAGCGAAAGCCCTAACAACAATAGCGTAGGAACTGGATTTGGAGTAAACAACTTCATTTTAATTATTGTGGCAATATTGATTTCTTTTTAAGATTTAGTGCTTTTTATTTTGCCCTGCGCTTTTGAAAATTTGGGCGTATAGGTACCTAAGAAAGTAAAAGTGTTGTGAATACGTTGTCTGCCTATTGAGCATTATAAACACGTCTTGTGTTCGTGCTAGGGACTACTCTTCAATATACAACATCCCATTCAAGCTTTTTGCCTTATTTTTTCATTAAATATACATAAATTGCCCCACAATAGGATGTCTCCTGTGGGTGCGTTTAAAAACACAATTTCACTGATACACATCACACCCAGACCCGAAACAACAATTTGTAGATCACACAAAGAATAATAAATTGTTCCATGTGGGAATCGATCCCGCGACATGTTGTGCGGCAGTCAGTTGCCCAGCCATTGCGCCAACCGTGAAGTCTAAAAAAATAAATAAATTTTGAATAACGGATAAAATATACCTACGTAGCTACTGTGTTCACTGTGTCCTTTCATTCTCCGAAAAGCATTTCAGAGATGGGCAATACTTTTTTTTTAATGTTGAGCTTTAAGAATTTTTCACCTGGCAGGTACAATTTCAAGCTCTATTAAGCAATACTATTCCCGTTCGTTGCACTACGGTTAGGAATCATGTTGTTAGCATATCATCATAGATTAACAATATACTATTAAATTAGAGACATCTCATCGTCTCGTAGCGACATCTGTTTGTAATGTATTATATCGCCGAAAGAAATTGTAGTGATGTTTCTCATCATTTAAGTCTAGATGGCATTGATTTATATTAGATTTTGTTTGATGCATTTTAGATATTTACCAGCAAAGTTTCATGTGAATTTGACTATATAACAAGAAATTGTAATGATTGGGCTACGCAATTTTATACTGGTATCTGCTTACCTCTTATCGAAGTAACAATACTTGGATTAGTTACATAATTACTTGTAATGCCTCGTTATATTTGAGTTATAGACTAAAATATAAAAATTTCTAAAGTCCTAAGTCCTCAGCAAATCAAAATGATGTGACAGGAATAATACACTCCCATTGATAGGACGATACAAATCAACAACGCAAGTGTATTGTAATAAATCCTTAGGGTGCTGCGGGTGTCAATGTCCATCGTAGATTACCTGACCATCAGCTGACACGTCTTTTCGTTAGCCTGCTTGTCCGATAAAATATGTGTTTGGAATTTACTAGGGTTTGCCCAGTCAGCAAGTTTTTTTTTATATGAAGTAATCTAGGTCTCTCTGTGTTTGTCTAAATTTTTTGTTCAAAGTTATTTTATTACGAAAGGTACACCCATAGACTATAATGTCCCTTCACAATTTAAAATGTAAGTACCTATAAAAGAATCAGACACTTCATTATATTAAAAATGATAAGTACCTAATAATATCAGTAAAATGGTTAGGTAAATATTTTAATCGAAGTATGGGCTATTATTATTGCGGAAGTTAGGTGAATAACCTTGTGTACTTATAAAATTAATTTTTAAAGATTTTCTCATTTTACCCGCTTGTGTTTATAATCTATAGCATAGACCTCTAAGTTTGTAGGCCATCAAGGAATTGTTTTATTTAAGGCATGATAATGCTATTCTATACATTCTATTAAAAACAGGTTTATAGTTGATAAAGAAACATTAACGTGAATTTGATTTTTATTCATACAATTTTCAAATGAACTCAAAGTTTTGCAGTCGGTCGGTTTCAAGTCGGTCAATGGCTTGTAAAGTATTTCACGCATGCGTATCAACCGACTGTCATAGATACCTACTTGATATTTTTATACTTATGTTGTAAAACATAGACAACAGATATGTGTCAACGCAATGTGACAGTTCGTATTAAGACGTTGAGAGAAGGGAGCGTGTGTTTATTTTGGGTACCAAATGACCTTGTAGTATAGTGATATTATAATGTAATTATATCAACTGCCGCGGTAGTAAAAGTGCTCCGATTACCAGCTGATATGGGTCAGCGACCTAACACACAGTCATCGCAACGTGTTCGCGACAACCGATCGTGATGATGCACGAAATGCATTTAATGTGTGTTGCTCAGATTCGCGGCCACTCGCATCGCGTCAGGTCGCGCCGTTGTACGCTGTGCGCTCGGACATTGCGGTTATCGCGCATTTCCCCTCATTCTTCAGTCAGCGTTTGGCGGATATTGTGACAGTGAATAGTAATGTTTAAGATATGTTTGCCGCGGTATGTGCCGCTGTACCCGGTGCTCGGGCTGCTCGGTGCGTGCGCGCAAGCCATCAACATCGTCTCCGTCTGCAATTCCTCCATCTACTGCGCTGGAGACCTACTCCACACAGTGCAGCTCGCCAGAATTTTCCCTGACTCGAAGACATTCGTCGACTTGAAACTCACAAATACTGAAAATGTAACTCTCGCTAAGTTTAAGAATCTTATGAAACAAACCAGGAATAATCCAACTCGTGAGCAAATTATGTCATTTGTCGATGCGAACTTTATGGAGGGAGGGGAGTTGCTCCACTGGAACCCTCCAGATTTTGATCCCAATCCTCCGATTCTCGACCAGATTACTGACCCGAAGTTGAAACAGTTCGCGAAAGATATTATCAGCATTTGGCCTGTCCTCGGTCGAAAAGTATCTCCGGACGTAGATAAGAACTCGGATCAATACAGTTTTATTTATGTGCCCAACGGATTTATTGTTCCTGGCGGCAGGTTTAAAGAGTTATACTATTGGGACTCTTACTGGATTATACGCGGGCTCTTGATTAGCAATATGACGCAAACAGCGAAAGGGATGATCGATAATTTCTTATATCTTGTGGATAAACTAGGCTACATACCCAACGGAAGCCGAATGTATTATTTAGGTCGCAGTCAACCACCTCTGCTGTCCCTAATGGTGCACGACTATTACACTAGCACTGGTGACGTCGCCTGGCTCGAGCAGATTATAGAAACAGTAGAAAGAGAGTTGTACTATTGGTTGGAAAAGAAGAAAATGACTGTTAATGTGAAAGGTAAACAATACAGGCTTTTGCGATACATTTCGGATGAAGAAGATAAAGGGCCTCGTCCCGAATCGTATTACGAAGATTATGCCAGCAGTCGCGTTTTGTCTGAAGATAAGCGTGAAGAGTTTTACAAGGAAATGAAGAGTGCCGCCGAGAGCGGCTGGGATTTCTCATCCAGGTGGTTTGTGAACGCAAAGAATGTGACTACGGACAACTTGACCGACGTCCATACATCTCGTATTCTTCCAGTCGATCTTAATGCTATGTTTGCTGGTGCATTACAAATCATGGGAGACCTTAGGTATCAACTTAAGGATAGGCGGAGTGCTCAAAAATGGTGGAGTTTGGCAAAGTACTGGAGGGTAGCGATTGAGAACGTATTGTGGGACCCGGACGATGGTGTTTGGTATGATTATGATACCACGGCGAAGTCACGAAAGAAACAATTTTACGCAAGCTGTGCTACTCCTCTCTGGGCAGACGCGGTTGAGTCGTCGAGTGCTCCTACATACGCGTCCCGCTTAGTTTCGTATTTAGAATCGAATAGTGCGCTGAGCTTCCCCGGCGGTATACCGACGTCGTTGTTGCACACGGGTGAGCAGTGGGACTTTCCCAACGCCTGGCCGCCTCTTCAGAGCATCATGATCGGAGGTTTAGAAAAAAGTGGCTATGATGAAGCGAAAGAGTTAGCAAGGCAACAAGTGGCTATTTGGATCCGTGCAAATTACATAGGTTATACTAAGTGGCAGAAGATGTTTGAAAAGTACAGCTGCGTGCAGCCGGGGGACCACGGAGGCGGGGGAGAGTACTCCGTCCAGTCTGGGTTCGGGTGGACCAATGGAATCGTTTTAGAGCTTTTACAGAGATATGGGAGGGAGTTGAGGCTAGATGATGGAGATGACGGTTTGCCGACCGTGCGAATGTTGTAGCGAAATCAATTTTGTATCGATCTATGCGTGATAAAACGTTAGTTTAAGAAGAAATGTTATGTCTCACTTGTGTTTTAACATTAAGTAAAGTGTTTAATTTTAATTATCTTGTCTGGTTCAGTGTCGTCATTCGTGATTGAGTTTACCGTTAATTAAATTCCAGCCAGACGATGACAATGGAATGCAATGTCGGATCTAAAACGAAACGTGTTTATGTGAAATGTGAAACTAATGTCATATTATTATACGAGTAGGCTTGGCTTGGACCCTGTTCGAATGTTTACAACTTACGTTTTCTATTTTATATAATGTTTAAGTTAATGGGTCGATCTTCGTACCGCCACAAAAAAAAATCCTGAACATCTAATTTCACTAACATGTAGAGAAGTTTGTATGGGAATGATCATTATCGCTTTAAGTATTTTGGACGCAATTTTTTCATATTTTTTCACCATTTAAACCTTTACTGATGATCACCTACGAATGTACTTACCGTTTCATAGTCTAAAGCGAGACAATCAGTAATTCATCTATACATAATTACATACGTAGGTATATACATATAAGAACACAACATGACAGAATATATTTTATAAATGTCGGGAAAGAAACCAGCATTTTTAATTATTTTTAAACAAATATATATTTTGTTTTTAAAAATGTAGTACGTAGGTATGTAGGTACTTAAATAATATTGTCTATTATTATAATAAATCAGTGTTTTGCAGGATGTTCGTTTTTTTATTTTTTTAGCAAATGCCTTCAAACGTTTGACGGGTCACCTGATAGTAAGCGATCGGCACCAGCCCCTGTAACATTTTTGAACTTCACTTAAAGTATTATCACGATTTCTTAAGAATCATTTACATCAGTTATGTTCATAATATTCGAATAAAGTCAAATTTAAGCTTAGAGGTAGAAAAGTACTAGAGTGGCGACCAAGGGCCGGAAAACGTAGCGTGGGCAGGCCTCCCGCTAGGTGGGTCGTCGACATCGTCAGGCGCGGGGAGCCAATGGATGCTGGTGGCAACTTGTAGTTCGACGTGGAGGAGTAAGAGGGAGGCCTGTTCAGCAGTCTTCCGGCTGATGATGATGAGCTTAGATGTGTTTATCCAAGTACACATATTACTGTAACTTACGTCTCTAAGTTCTATGCTGATGGTTATACTGTATGATCCTTATGCTTGGGCCACACTAACGGGAAATACCATTCAGTATCGGTAATCGTAGTTGGAATTTGATCAATAAACAAATGATTTAAGGTGTATTTTTCATTGTTTAATGTCTTCAATTATTATTTCGCGATAATTATTAGTGGCATTGTCCGTCCCAAGCATTCATGCAATAATGTCAAGTTGTTAGTGACACCGTTTTTTTTTGGGGGAATAATCGTGAATTGTCTTTTCCGCCCTGTGTGGTTATTATTGGTCTTGTACCAACAACTGCCAACAACGAGGCTTACGAGTACCTATTCCTACACGAAAGTTTTTTAATATAATATTTTGGCAAGCGAGTAGGCTGATCTGATGGTAGCAAGCGGCGGCGCCAAACAATACCAAAGTATGTTGAGAGATTTCAGGATTGGTCTAAGGTGAGGTGAGGATTGGGCCTCTGGTAACCTCACTCAAACCTCTAAGCACAGCGTTGTTTCACGCTGGTATTCTGTGAAGTGGTAGAGTAAGTAGTTCTGTTTTGGCTGTTCGCGTGATGGCTGAACCACCGGCGGTTTCGATTCCCGCACGGAACAACTTTTTGTGTTATCCACAAATTTTTGATTCGGGTATCATGTGTAGGTATGTAAAACTGTTTGTGTGTGCACGCAAGCATTAAAAAAAAAAGAAAAGAGCCACGGTTTCAATCTGGCCTGACCGGCCCATTTGTGTCGAAGCCTGGCTCTCCCCCAATTAAAAGAAGGGCAGATTTTGTCATGTCATGTAAGTTTGTGCTTATGGACACCAGTAACACTTAGGTACTCTACAGGAGTTAGGTAGGTACTAGTGCGATGCGTTGCCGGCCTTTCGGAGATGAAGGTTTTGGAGATTCAGAGATTTGGGAGGGATAGGCTTGGGCCTCCAGTAACCTCATTCACACGGCAAAATACAGCTCTGTGGTTGTTTCACGCCGGATTTTGTGAGGTCGTGATATCACTCCGGTCTAACGGACCCATTCGTGCCGGAACATACTAGATCTCGCACACATAAATCGTGTACCTACCCAAATAACCGCTCACTTAAAGAAATTACCGATCATAATAATGATAATTATCTTTTAGATCTTTGTTTCATTATATTCGGTTCAGTATTAACTTGGAAAGTCTGTACGAAAATCCGTGCCGCGCCAACGCTGTAATCACTATTAATACCTAGTATTAATATTACCTAGTATGAAACCAAGTCGCTCTCTATCCCTAAATCCCTATGTAAATGGGTATTAATCAATATAATAATGTGTTGGTAAGCGCATAACTCAACAACGCCTGGACCAATTTTGCTAATTATTTTTTTGTTGTGTTTCTTATTGTCAGGAAAAGATTCTTATGAAAGAAAATTCTAGAAAAGTTGAGGGGAGATCTGGGAAATAGGGACACTTTGGTCGTAAGCGAGATAGTGGGAGACGCGTGCGAAGCAGGGGCGGGCCGCTAGTAATATCTATAAAAACACGCAATGGATTTTGATGCGGTTTTTAATAGATAAAATGATTGATGAGGAAGATTTATATGTAAAGTAACATGCATTAAAAAGTGGAGAAATTTTTATCACCATTGCAAACGTGCGAAGCCGGGGCGCGTCTCTAGACTCGCTCCTTTAATCTACTGCTATATAAAAATAAGTCGAGTTTTCCTTCCTGACGCTATAACTCCAGAAGGCACGAACCGATTTCCACGGTTTTGCATTCGTTGGAAAAGTCTCGGGCTCCGTGAGTTTTAGGTTTGAGGCAAAGAAAATTCAGGAAAAATTTTAACAGAAAAGCGGAAACTTGAAAAAGTGTCAAATCGACATCCACGTGGGCAGAGCTACGGGCGACCTCCTAGTAATTTATAGGTAAATATTTCCAGTGTGCGATATTGAAAAAATGTTTCATTAGTATAAAAAACTGGACGACACTATTATACCTTGTGTAGGTAATAACAAATTAATTGCAAAACAATTAATTAAACAAAATACTTAGGTACGTAGTTTTTGTAAAATTCCACAGTGACATGCGCGGTGCGACCTAGCACTATATTTGAATAACATGAATAAGCACAAAAAGTATTTAAGCAATTAATTAATTAGGTTCTTAATTAATATTTAAAACTAACTTTTGCCCGCAACTTCATGTGTGCTAATATCAATTAAAAGTTTCCCATTTTACTTAAATATTGTGATTTTTTTTTGCCGGGCGTAAATCATCACATTATTTCTCTCGTCTCTCGGGTGAGGCGAGAGGGAGTGACAGACTCTTACTGACTAAAAACCACCACGTTCCTTCTCCTTGTCCAGGGCCAGGGTTCATTATTGCTTTTGTTTGCTATTTTATTATTGCTTAGGCTGCGATCACACTGGGTATCGAAGAAGCGCGACCACAGAAAAAAACGTTACTTGAGACACACTGTTAAAACAGTCGTAAAGTATGTATTACGTACGTAATACGTTAAGATAATCTTTCGCTGAAAATCAGCGCTAAAGCTTTGTCCCGTATAGAGTCTCAACATTATGGTGAGTGAGGGCCGTGACGCATACGGCATACCTATTACCCGTTATGTATGTACTTTCTTCTCGTTTTGTATTTCTAACTAAATTGTAAGTAGTCGTTTATTTTCCAGTTTTACTAAGTATTACAGTTGTTTGTCTATGTGTCATACCTACACGAGAATTTTAAGGAAGAAAAAAAAACATTTTCTTTCATTTAGGTGATCGTAATACATCTCCACCTCCTTCATGACGCGCCAGTCGTAAACGCGCCATGACAGAGCGGGACCTATGCAGTAGTAGGTAGGTACACCCTAGTACCTAGATAATGTGCCGGAAATTTTTTCATTGCCGGTTTTTAGCAATACTTACAAAATATTGATTTTCCTTGAAAGTTTCTAATTATTATCTTTCTTCTATCATATCTATGGAAACTCTAACTATCTATAAAAACTACCAGTTTTTTGTGCCGATTATGGGCCGATGGCGCGTAGTTGCAACGCAGTGCAGTGTAGATCTCCCTTATTTGAAATTCTTAGTCACAAGTTTGTTGTTTGTTACGAGAATTTGTGCTACATAAGTAAAAATAAAAATATGATGCTAATTAATTTTTATGAGAAGCAAACAAACAAACTCAGATTTCTCGTTTCTATTACAAGCAAAATTAATGTGCACTTTATACTTAAGTCTATTTTTTGCTGACCTACATTACATACAAAATAAAATATATGCACATGACAAAAAAAACAAAAACATGTTTGTATTCTCGATTGGGAATAAAAAATAAGTAGATGTAAAAAAATCTTTATGGATATAACTATTATATGATTAACGACCTATTTCACAATGTCTAATTAAATAGAAAGAAAGAAAGAAAAAACATTTATTTGACACTCGCACAGAAAATAAATACAATAACAATTTATATACATGTATTATTATACACATTGTATGTATACAAAAAAAAGAAAAAATAAACAAAACAACACCAAAAATATAAAAATAAAATAAATGACCTGTGCGAGGTCAAAAAGGCCACTATCTCAGCATATACTTATATGCTTAAATAGCTTATTTAATTATCAATTCTTTTAACGCACTCATATTTCCTCTGTTGTTGCTGCGCGTGTCCATAGGCGGCGCAGATTGCTTACCATCTCCTAATACGTCTGCGCGTTTGCAGACCTATCACATAAAAAAAATGAATTTTCAAATTTCGAAACTGTCGGTACGAATCGTATTTGGAATTGAGTAGTTTCCTAGGTCAAAACTAAATTAATTCGACGTTTTAATACAATAAAATGTTGAAAAATAACTATATCTTACTTACTTACTTGTATTAATCTATCTGTCTATAAACAAAATTTTCGATATGTTTTAAAAAATAGCTAGCTAAGCTATTTAACGCAAAAATACTATGACGTCATAAATTAGAGAAATGTATCGTTTTTGACATTTAGTTGTATGTACCTACTTATTGAATTTGAATTTGAAAAATTGGAAACTACCACGGAAACTACCGTCTACCGTATTATGACAGTGGTACATATTATTTTAACGCCTCTTTGTAAAACTCACTGGAGCAACTATAGACAATCAGTTTTTACCAGTAATTTTATCAGTAGGTAACTTGTGAGCGGCGATCCTCAGGAGTGATAACAATAAAACGATGGCTGTCTATTTAAAGATTTATTTAGGAAATAAAATAATATTTAAGTAATGTTAAATATCGATTTAGATTCAGATACTTTTAAATAGGTAACGTTAAGTTTTTATTACCTTTATGTAGTTAAAATGCACAATAAATAATTTACAATACCTAACCGTCTTGACGTTCTAGATTAGATAGATACTTTTTGGTTAAACTTTCATTTTGTTGCCAACTTAAAAAAAATGTATGTAAGTAAATATGTCATTTAAAATAATATTTATAATAATAAGTATTCTTGAAGCTCTAAACTGTTTAAAAAAAGCTTATAAATTAAAATTCTGATTAAAGAACCTTAAAAATAAATAATGTATAACAAGTCAACAGCACATTTAGGTATAGATAATTATAACAGTTTACTAGCTTAATGAGCCATTTAATCAACGGCCTGGATGTTCAGCTGTTTGATTGAATGACTGAATTACTGTTCGAGTATAATTTTGGTAACTGTTTACTTATTTTTGGCGGGAAATTGATTTCTGTGTGGGTCATATATAGTTCTAATTTTAGTATACCTAATTTTGGTAACTTTTACTCATTTGCGGGGTTACAGTTCTAACATAAACTAAGCTATCATTCTGGTAGCGAGTCTGTTTTTATAGAAATGCCTTCACGCTTGAACTTAAAAGCTTAAATTGAGAAATACAGACATACAATCAAACAGCTAATCATTCATGCGGATTGGATGATTAATGAAGAAAGTTTCCTGCGACATAAATAAATATATAATAAGTTAGTTCATAAAACCTTTAAAAAAAGCAAATGCTTGAGTGTGCATTAAAGCTTGGAGGTTTCATGTAAAATCGTTAATGTAAAATTTCATGTAAAATACATTTACTTGTGTAATGTCTAATAGGTACCTACCTACTTACTTAAATAATTCGATTTATTCCATCTTAGCTGTTGCACGTGACTCCGTTCGCGTGTAATAGCGACTTCCTGCAGTTTTTGCTATAAAAAATATCCTATCTCCTTTCTCGAGTTCCAAATTGTCTCTGTTCCAAATTTCACAGAAGTCGGTTCAGTAGTTTAGGCGTGAAGAAAGGACAGACAGACAGACAGAGTTACTTTTGCGTTTATAATATTAGTTTGGATTTGGTTATACAATATAGTATACCTAAAACTAACATCTTGTAGTGTATTTCATTTTAAAACCAGGTCAAATAAATCCAATAAGTAAAATAATTACTAATAGATACTATCGATATTAAGGTATTTGTTTCATAATCGGACTTTAGACTCTGTTTCATTTTAATAACTACCTACTAGCTACTCCTCCTACAGATCGTAGCGTAATGTTTTATAGCCTATAGCCTTCCTGATAAATGGACTAACAAACGAATGAGGAATGTTCAATTCGAACCAGTAGTTCCGTAGACTAGCGCGTGAAAACAAACAAACATTACAGCTAAGTTTCGTCTTAAATAATATAACAAAAAGCCATTTAAAATCTTACGTTGTAGCCCGTCCTAATTTAGTGTAAAACATTTTGATAAAATCTATATTATTATGTGCTATTTAAATGTGTGTATTTTCTTAAGACTTATTCAACAGCGTCGAAGTCACAATCACTTGCCGGTGTCACGTAGGGGAGATCCATTTGGGAACCGAATTCCGCTTCTAACAACACCTGCTGGATTTTAAGTCTAGCAAGCGCGTTTTGTTTGGAATTTAGCCTTTTAAGGGTCGGAGCGCAACTGATAAGGAACAACTCATCAGGGTCCGTTCTTTTATCACAGGAACAGGACGTTACTTCTTCGTCCGTGGAGTTCTGACGAGCTTTCTTCGGTGAGGGTTCGGAGTCTTCCTCGTCATCGTCGTCGTATTTGTTATCCTGACTGTATGACAGGTCCGGCAGACATTGGATGGCACGCTGACGCATCTCCTCTTCAGCATCCGAGTCCTCAGCTTCCTTTTTGCTAATAGCTCTGTGAAGGAGAAATTCGTAATCAGTTGTTTAAAAAAATAAAACGTTTTCCGACACTGAGGATTTTTTGCCTCAAAGTCAAAGTCAAAATTACTTATATCAAATAGACTACAGCAAGCACTTTTGAACGTCAAGGAAAAAGGTTTAACTTTATGCGTCTGTCCGTCTGTGCTCTAGTGAAGCTATTTGCTCGTTCCATAGATTCCTATGGAGAACAACGAGCAAGAAACTCCATGGTTACTCATGGGCCTGTGTTGTGAGTACGTTTTAGACGCGAAACAACAATTAGTGGAGATCATAAAGAGTTCTTCCGAGTATCAAATCCGCGCCGACACACTGCGCCTTAGTTCGCAGTTCGGTCAGTTCTGATACTGCAGGACCATTCTACATCTTCTACAATGGAAGGCTCCTTGATCTAGAGTCCAATTTCTTTATATTTAAATACAAAGAAAAGAATGATGTTTACCCATTGTCCTTAGTTTCTATATGCGGCAACAGGAACCTCATGGCCTGGTGGTAAGGCCACCTCGTACGACCCCCGTGTGTCCTCTGGAGTTTTATGAACGAATCGCGAAGAGACCGCCATCTTTTCTTGCACTCTGATTCTGAGGAACAATAATAAATATGAACAATATTTTTTTTATTGAATTAAGCATTTATTTTAACTTCTGCCTACTTCCTTCCACCCGCGGTTTCGCTTGGTAACTATGTTACATACAAAATTTCAACCAAATCGGTCTAGCCGTTTTTGCATGGAAGAATAACAAACATACATCCGTACATTCTCAAAAACTTTCAATAATTTTAATAGGAATTTGCAGAGTTTATGCACAACACACAAACAGATAAAAATGTAAAGTTATGATGAGGTTTATTTTTGATATCTTTGATTTTGGTGCGGTTTTTTAATACACAGAGTGATTATTTGGAGAGGAAGGTTTATAAGTATGTACCATTAAATAAGTAATGAAGAAATTTAGTATCAGCATTGCAACTGTATAAAGCCGGGGTGGATCGCTAGGTAGCAATTTATATGGCAAAACAACGTTTTCCGGGTCAGTTAGTGTAGGTATAGTAGCTATAATATGTTTACTAAGTAAGTAGGTACCTACCTAGATATTAATAGATAGGCACTGTTACTGGATGAAAAAGTGTTGCATTTGCATAATTTTTTAAAACAAAAAAAATATTTTTTAAACTTTTTACTTACATATAGACTTACCAGAAACATGTAATGACTGTTGTACTTCTTTCCATGCATCGTCTCTAAGTTTAGTTTTATTAAAACCACTCACAGACTTGTCATACAAAATAGGTCGCTTTTCAACCTCCTTTATTAAATCAATCTCATTCATTTTGTTTCTTTTTTTGTTTTATAGACGCACAATAGATAAGTGATTAAAAGAGGTTATCTGCCGGAATATAAACTTCTTTTATAGTTAGTTTTTTTTTTTTGTATCTTTGTCAGTGACTGATAATAACTACTTAATTAACTACTTGCTAAAAAATTACGTCGTATATAAGCTACTTAATTAACTAATTTCGTTGTAAACATTTGGTCCACGTCAACACGGTTTGTTTTCGTTTGCAAATCACTTTGACACACAATCACTTTTTTATTTGAAATAAGTATGCAATTATAAGGGCGGTGTTTTTTCTTCAATGATACACGATGACGGACTGATGGGGAAATGGGGTGGTTGGGTTCTGGAGGCCGGGGTAAGGTGACGCACGGTACGCGCGCGCCGTGCGTATCGAGCGGCGCGGCCGGTGCGGCGCGCTGCGGCGGCCGCCCCTACAAACTTCAACTTTATTGATTTTGCTGATTAGGAAACAAGTGAATGGGGATTACTATGTAGGTCCTGTGTTACATTACATTTGCTCACATCATTATGATAAATAATAATAAAATAGCTTTATTAATTCCAATATCTGAAATCGAATCATTGCGCTATTGCCCTTGCCCCTACAATAATAATTGAATTGCTCACATTGCTATTAGGTAGGTACTTATATATTTAATATTCAATAGCGATCTACGTAGATTTATCAATCGTTTACGCCAGTCACCAGTTACGATTTTTTTGTTTACTAGATTTTTTTTACCATTATCATCCAATTTTAGATAGGTAATAGTATTTTCATAAAATTAACCTATAGGTACCTACATACTTAGGTATAATTATACTAGCTTTTGCCTGCGACTCCGTTCACGTGACTTCTTGCGGATTTTTGGTATAAAGACCAAATCGGTAATCAAATAAAGAAATCTGTTCAGTAGTTTAGGCGTGAAGAAAAGACAGACAGACAGACAGAGTTACTTTCGCATTTATAATTTTAATTTGGATTTGGATTAGTAGATTAGTTTGAGTTTGGATTAATATTAATGTTAACATAATTCTCGAAAGAACTGTGTTTATCTCGTCTAGATTTTTTGTAGATAATTTAAATTGATAAAGTTAAGTAACACTTACGATATCTATAGTTTTATAACTAAGTATTTTTAAACGAAGTATACGGTATACCAGCATGTGTTGCCAATTTGCCATAGCAGGCTTGGAGCCAATGACGATATAACCATTAGGTATATCCTCTAAGCGTGGAGCAGAAGAAAGAACGGGAAGGTTTTAGTGAGTAAGAGTTTGGCACATCCAAAGCTCCACATACGCTCCTTAAAACAAATTGCATCAAAATAATTGATATCTATAGACATTATTCTCCGTCTTCTAGCGACGCCTTGGGTGCGACGGATCCTTCTTGCCACACAGGTTACTCGATGACTTCCCCGCTCAAAAAACAGATAACTCTTTTTTTTGTGAGGGAAAATCGTCAAATGTCTTCTCCCGCACAGGGCCGGGCGGGAGCGAGTGTCAGACTCTTACTGACTAAAAACCTCCCTGTTCCTTCTCCTGCTCTGGGCCGAGGTCGCGGTGCCTCATTGCGCTTACCCGCAATCCCGGCTGAGATAACTCTGTACCTTAAACAATTTTAAGACTTGTTCAGTAGGTAGGTACTAGTGTCATCAGTGCAGTTTAAATTAAATTTTAAAATATTTCCATTGAAACATCTAGGTACCTAATTACCTAAGTCAGTTTGAAGTTGTTTTTGCATAGGTATTATAAGTAGGTAGGTAGGTAGGTACGTAATAAATGACCATAGGTATTACTCGGAGACCTTAAATTATTACTTAAACTATTCCCCAGTAACGATTTATTTGCTAGAAAAATACGGCAAATGTAAATAGGTATATGTAAGTATATAGTCAAATTCAATACTTTTTTCGAAACTTCAAAACGACAATTTTCTATGAAATGAACAAGTACTATTATCTAGTGACGTTATAATTTATAAGCACCAAATGATATACTTATTTTTTTTTAATAACATCAAATCAATGAATGACCCACCTTTTTATTGATAAGTTCTTACCTATTTTAATGTTTTTAAAAGTAGTCAAAATTTCTTTTTGACTGTAGACTACCCAATTACCAATTAAACTTGGAAGTAAGTAGGTACCTACCTACCTAGCGTTGCCAGGCGTCCGGATAAAGCCGGACATAGGTAGGCTTTTTGATTGCTAGTCCGGCCAAAATAAACGGTGTCCGGCCTGTCCGGCTTTTGTTAGGCTTTTTACCTAAACTTTTCACAATCGCAAACGAAACACCAAACATGGCTGGAGTGAAGCAAAGACTTAGACTTATTAATTATTTCATAAGAATTCAACAAGATTTATGACTTTATGACAATAATCAAAATGCTTGATTTACATTAAATCTTGTCGTACCTATTAATACTGAGATAAAAAATCCTTAAGAATGTAGTGTGTCCGGCCTTTTTAGCTAAATGTCCGGCTAAACGGGCTGGTCTGTCCGGCTATAAGGCCTAACGACCTGGCAACCCTATACCTACCTAACAGTCAATCGTCTGTAAGTACCTACGGTAGTTAATTACCTACAGAACTTAATAAAACCGACGAAGACACCTCATTCAATCTACTCATTTATTCAGAGTGCGTGCAGCTGTATTAAAGTAAACATCTTTATTGAAATTCATTATTAATAATGTTAGCTTATCTGTCAGGAAAACAACAAACATCAAGTTTCTGATGACGAAGTGTTCATGCATAGATCGCATGGTAACGACTAATTAAGTACCCACCTACATATCTAAGTACTATAACATATTTACAATAGGTACTCTTTATGTGTAGGTAATCAATAATACCTATATTATTATTAATAGCGTGGAAGTGGAATGCCCACAGTTGAACTTTGGGCCTCCAGGAACACAATTAGGTAATACCTAGCTAAATAGTGATTTTTGGTGTTTCGTCTTATTCGATTAGCTACTCTCGCACGGTTTCACCCGCTGCTCGACTTAATTTAATTGTAGCGTGATGTTTTATAGCCTAAGTATAGCACTCAGGAGCAGTGTAGCTATCTATCAGTGAAAGAATTTTGGAAATCCGACCAGCGGTTTACCTCTTTATAATATTAGTATAGATTTCAATAAGAAGGTAATTCGATCAACCCGGAAATCATATCCGATAGGTAGGTAAACTTTGTCTTTTTGAGATGGTATTTAATGGATTATCAAATCTCTCCTTTCGCCTAAGATGAGGCGAGCGAGAGGGAGTGTCGAGACTCTTACTGACTAAAAAACACCCCGTTCCTTCTGCTGCTCTAGCCCGAGGTTGTGCCTACCTAGGTACTTGCACTTGCCCCGCAATCCTGGCATACTTTACCTAGGCGTTGGCGTCTGTCACACGGAAGTGTTACTTTTGCTACAGGTAGTTCTAATAATATGGTGGCAGTGTGCAATGCTTGGGCTGAGCACCGCAGTGTCCTCAGGGAAGTGACCTGTGCGGCGCCACCCTCTCGCGCCCGACCTTAGTCGAGGCCACGGTGTGGAGCGAGAATAACTGGGAAGCAGTACCTAACGCGAGGGAGCTATCCTCGTTAGGCTCCAGCTTCCGCTGTAGGCAACACTCCGGGCATAGGGAATCGTAAGTGCGGGTCTGCGGACGTTGGGTAAGGGTAACTCGCCGCCCGACCTGAACCAGATCCGAGAGAGCCAATAGAGCGCGTGCGTTCGTGCAGCGGAATGTTGTTGAATTTAAAGATTTTAATTATGCAGATATTTAGTGTATGACGTCGTATAATTGTGTATGGTAAAAAAAAATTGTGCACGCAACCATTGTGGAGAAATTCACCAAAAACTGATTCCGCTGGGCGAACGTTGTCCTGGCGGAACTTTTTTTAATCCATAGACTTTAGAAGAAAAGAGATTTATCCAAAAATTAGTGTGTATTTGTGTGTAATTGTGTATGTATGAATAAAACTAGTGCATGCATAAACTTCGGAGAAATTCAAGTTTCCGCTACGCGAACGTTTGGCCATTACCTAGTTTTCATATAAAGCGCTTACATAGAGAGCTGTAGATTTTTACATACGTTGTTTTGAATTTGTGTATATTTGTTTAAAAAACAGATTTAGAAAAAATCGTAGGGTTTAAAAGATAAAAATATAAACGTAAAATACGCTTATGAGGTCTTAGTTCTTAAAGTATGCACTTTGGGGTCTAGATTTTCACGTTTATACAAACCTTGTAAGTGTCTGCAACATGTTGCCAAGTATCAAGGATGTTCCGTTAGTAATTAAATAGTTATAGGACAAATTTACCATGAATAGATCACTGTTTACGAAGCAGTCAAATATCACGACTTTCTAAATGAATTGCATGGTAAAATGTATGCCAATAATTAGTGTATTCATTCAACTATTCACATGCAAAATTTCATGTCATTAAATTCAGTAATTAAAGAAAAACAATTATAATACTGACGAAGCATCGAAAACCTACATAACCCGACCAAGTTCGGATGGCTACAAAAAAGCGGCCGTGCCATACATCTAAGAAACGTTCTTAACTTTCCAATATAGCATTTATTAATATGGTACAGTATCGTACACAAGCGTTAGGAAAAAATAAAACACAGTATCGTACACACGCTCGTGCATGCCTAGTCTATTGGTCAAATAGTTTAATAAAAAATATTGGTTAAATAGTGTAATAAGCTACAATATGATAAATATTTACCTAAACAATAGTACATACTTACATGTGGTAAATATTTAATTTCCCTAAGGGGTCTATAGTTAGAATCCTGATCCGTGAAATCTTCAATAGAAATTAGCTGTATGAATTTTATTTGTCTTAATTAATATAATTAGAATAAATCTCAAGTCTCAAGCGCATATATATGTCGCAGGGATATGATAAAAACAGGGATTTGGCCAAATTCCTAAGGGATTTGATCAAATCACGGAGGATGTTAAAATAACAACAAGTTTTT